ATATTGGAAGCGGATGGGAGGGAGGTGGGGCTGAATGCATGACCGCCGGCTAATGGACGAAGTAGCGTTTTGTTGTAACCGATTTTGTAGAAGCTGAAAATAAACATATTGTAGTTTGTAAAATTTTAAATCGTATACTGTTTATTTGGTCAAAAAATGTCGCGTCCCTCAGTTTTATAAATTGACTCATAACTCGCTTCAAAATTGAGCTAGAGACTTGGTTTTTAGCGCAAAATGATTTGAATTGCCTTGTCTTTTTTTACCATTTTTGAAAAAAACCTAAAAATGTCAATTTTACCAAACTAACCTCGGTTTTATTATCCGCATGCTCGGATACAATATACTGTCGTGCCAATAGACACACGAGAAAGTACGTGTGTACTGCTAAACAGACAAGTTGAGGGTACATAATTGGGATTGGCACCCAATCATAGTTACAAATCCATGCGAGACCCGTACGGAATTTCTGGAATATTTTTTCTTTTTTTTTTGGCTTAATTTAAAGGCGCATACCTTAATCTCATCCTGCACAACGACTTGATAATAATCACTCTCAATCAGTCCTTTTTTCCTCGCCTCGTAGGTCAAACTGAATGCCCATTGAAATGGTACCCAATATTTCGAGTATTTGTACTGTATCTCATCATATCTCTCCTTTTCATGAGGCATCATAAATCCTGCGGCAACTACCGTATCTAGTGTTGGGAATCGTCGGCGGGTACGCATACTGATGTCTCGGAAGACGAGCACTTGGGCCAGCTCGCAGTAACGGACAATGTTACGACGATACATTCGGGCTTGTTCAGTACGACCGCGGACGTATTCAGCAGCCATTAGACCGATGCTGAAAATAGTTGAAATTTGGCATATTCTTTTAGTTAAGTACTTTTTGATAGCTATTTTAGTTTTTGAGATATCCGCCTTTAAAGTTTGCGCGCCCTTTTTTGCTTCGAATATAGGGGACCGCCTACTTTAAAGGCACATAACTCAAAAGCTAAAAAAGCTAGCAAACTTTTGTCAAGTGATAGAGTGTGTGAAATTTTATGTTCTACATTTTGTAGTTTTTAATTTTTGATAGGTTTTTTAGCTTTCGAGATATGCACCTCTAAAGTATGCACGCCCTTTTTTCCCCGCATGGAGGTGCGTCTACTTTAAAGACGCATAACTCAAAATTTAGAATAGTTATCGACAAGTTGTTAACTGGAAAAATGTGAAGCATTAAATTTTACACATTTTGTTAAAAATAACTTTTTAAAAATCTAACTTAGTCCTTGAGATATGCGTCTTTAAAGGTGGCGCGCTCTTCTTTGCGCCGCTTCTAGGGATCCGCCTACTTCAACAGCGCATATCTCAAAAGCCAAATTAGCTATCCAAAACTAGTAAACTATAAATATAAAGACCGACAAATTTGCTACATTTTAATGTTTTAATAATAATTTTGCCTTTTTTAGAATTCGAGTTATGAACATTTTTAAAAATCGGTTAAAAAATTCCTAACAACAGTATTTTTTCTAAAACTTCATATCTCGAGTTCTACATTTGCTAGAAAAACAATTCTTATATCACTATTTTGGAAATTTTGTGTTCTTTATTTTAATAGTTTGCAGAACTATGTTAACTATTGTAGTTTTTGAGATATGCGCATTTAAAGTAAGCACACCTTTCAAGGAAGGACTTCGTCTCTTTTTGTGGTAAATTATTTTTAAATAGCTAACACAGTTTTTGAGATATGCGCCTTCAAAGTGTGCGCACTACCTTCCCTGCGTCTTTTTATGTCATCTCTACTTTAAAGGCGCATAACTCAAAAACTAACATAGCTATCAAAAAGTTGTAAACTAAAAAATTGGAGAACATAAAATTTTACATATTTTTGTTGTTAGCAACTTTTCAATAGCTAGCTTAGTTTTTGAGATATAGAACTTACTTATCAATGAAACCAATAATCTGATACAAATATGTCCATCTGTTGACCACAGCCGTCACAAAAAAGCCCAACATGAAATTTAACGGAATATATGATAACCGGCTGTCACAGTACTGAACTATCCGCTCAAATGTTCTGAAATTAGTCTAATTAGGCTTAATTAGTCAATTAACGTGGAGCTCTCACCTCTGTTGCATGGGATTCAGTGCGGTTCGATAGATGACGCTTAGTATCCCGTACAGTACCAACCAAACGGCCAATTCCAGAATCACAGCCTTCCAGATACTTCCACGCCATTTCAGTAGCAACTTGAACAGTGTCCACGGCTTCGAGGTGGACACTGCCAGGTTGTAGTTTATCGTCATTACTGTAAAATTTGAAATATTAGTTTTCGGGATTGAAAAATCGAAAATTGGAGAAAATCAATTTTTTTTTGAAATTTTCAAATTCCCGCCAAATCTGGTGAAACAGTTTTTCGGACATAACTCGGCTCAAAGTGTCCTAGAACGCTGAAAACAGGCTCAAATGAAAGGAAATTAAATTTCACATTTGCTGAAAGCAAAATTCCTAAAATTCGCAAATTTTTTTTTCGAAATTTTCATAGCTGGTTGCGACCTTAAACTACTGTAAAAAATGTAAAAAATGAAATCTCTGACAAAAATTATTTCATTCCCCAAAAGAATCAAGTCTCTAGGACATTTAGGAGCCGAGATACAGAAAGTAGGTCAACCGCGACGCGACCGCGTCGCGAGGTCAAAACTTTTAAGCGGTGTATCTCGGCTCCTAGATGTCCTAGAAATATGAAACTTTCACAGAAATAATGGAAATTTGGGACTTATTCATATGAATTTAATTTTTTTTTTGAAAAAAAAATTTCTATAAAATTTTAAACTTTGCTTTCTGCAGATGTAGAATTCAATGTCCTTCAATTTGGTACTATTTTCAGAGTAATAGGATAATGTTAAGCCGAGTTATGACCAATAAACTAGGATTACCAGATTTGGCGGAAATTTGAAAATTTAAAAATTTAGATTTTTTTTTTGAAAATCTTGGACAATTTTTTTTTAATGAAAAAAATTATATGAATCAGAATACACTCAAAAGATGAAAAGAAGCGAAGGCGAAGATGATAACGATGATGTCGGTGAGGTTTATTATGTCATGTGAGAGATAATAAGAGAATTAGAGAAAACAGAGAAATAGAAGACGAATTCAAGAGAAAAAGAACAAGTTATGAGTCATTGGTAATTAGTGTAAAAATTGAACGAAACATTTTTTTGGAGTTTTTTTGGAATTTTGAAAAATTCAATTCTTGGAAATTTTGAATTTTAAAAAGCACTAAAATCGAGATTTTAGTTTTTTCTTGAAACCAAAATTTTCAATAGTTTTTCCAGAATTTTCGAGAAATCAAAAAATATACAAACAAAATCATAAAAACTGATAGTTCGACAAACTATCAATGAGGAATCCCACCTACTGATAGTGATGATATCACTTTCTTAAAACCATTTAATTAGAAAACTTATTTTTTTCAGGTACAAAATTTTTTTTGATAAAAAGTTGACATTTTCAAAAAAATTTTGGAAAAAAAATTCTCCGAACCTTTATCAGTTAAATTATTATCAAGTGTGAAATTTAATTTCCTTTCATTTGAGCCCATTTTCAGCGCTCTAAGACAATTTTGAGCCAAGTTATGAGCAAAAAACTAAACCTGCCAGATTCGGCGGGAATTCAAAAACACATTAGCAGCTCAGTTGGCCGCTGTGGTCATAACTTGGCTCATAGTTATCCTATAGCGCTGAAAATAGGCTCAAATGAAAGGAAATCGAATTTTGAATTTGATAGTATTACAGTTCATTGAAAATCAAGAAAAATTTTAAACTTATCGGAAAAAAAAATTAGAAAAAAAACTTGAGAATTTGAGATTCATGTAAATAAGTGCCAAATTTTCTCTATTTCTGTGCAATTTTCATAGTTCTAGGCCATCTAGGAGCCGAGATACACGCCTTCAAAGTTTTGACCTACGCAACGCGGTCGCGTCGCGGTTGACCTAGTTTCTGTATCTGGGCTCCTAGATGTCCTAGAGACTTTATTCTTTTTTGGGAACAAATTCATTTTTTTCAGAGTTTCCATTTGTACACTATCCATCATTTCAAGGTCGCAACTATTCAATGAAAATTGAAAAATGATGAAAAATGTTTCTTTCAAAATTTCAAAGTTTTGACATCATCATATGTAAGATTCAATTTCCTTTCATTTGGTCTTATTTTCATATTTCTAGGACATCCAGGCGGTTGACCTATCACAGCTCCTAGACGTCCGACAGACCTGATTCTTTCTGGGAATACAAGCTTTTTTCTTGAAATTTTCATTTTTACTATATTCTTCAGTTTTAAGGTCAAAAAAATGGGAAAATCTTGAAAAAATAAAAAATCCCAAATTTCCTAAGTTTGGATATTAACAAATGTGAAATTCACTTTTATTCAATTTGAATCTATTTTCAGTGCTCTAGGACAATTTTGAGCTGAGTTATAGGCAAAAAACTGAATCAGTCGGTTTGGCGGGAATTTGAAAAAAACTTCAAAAATTTTTCAGATTTTTTTTTCGCATTCAAAGAAAAGGTCAAAAGATCGATTTTTTTGGGTTCAATGGAAAACCTAATTAACCTTCAAAACCCCTTTTGAAGAAATCGTAAAAATGTTATAGTTTTTTTCTTTTTTTCGAGAAAATTGTCTATTTTTGGAAAATTTCGAAAATTTAAAATTTAAAACTACAAGTTACAGTAGGCTTCTAACCTCTATTACCACCGAAGTCTATGAGGAACCCCAAAAAATCAAGTGGGCTGAGCGAAAAAGTGGGCGGAGCCTATGGAGAACGTTCAATGCGGTCAACGGGAAATGTTTGTAATCGAGTAGAAGAAAAAGAAAAAGAAGACTTTTGATGGTTTGAGACTTCAAAGAATCAGAAAAATAGAAGATAAAAAGATAAAAAGATAAAAAAAGGAATGGGAAACATGTGATCAGTTGCAAACAGTATACTTTTTTCTACCTAAAAAAAATAAAAAATTCGACTTAGTGGACTTTTTAAACACTTTGAATTACTAGATTTCCAGAAAAATCAGAAATTTTTAACTTTGATTCCCAAAAATTATCTAACAAAAAAAATCCCCCCTGCTCCCCATTGCCGCCACCCACCACGCGCCCCCTCCCCCTTCTTATACGACAACACCTCCCTCCAGCAAATGTGGCCGCGTGGCCTAATGGATAAGGCACCAGACTTCGAATCTGGGGATTGCAGGTTCGAGTCCTGCCGTGGTCGAAATCTTTTGTTTTTGATTTTTCTTCTCTTTTGTGACAAAGAACACAGTTGTCTAATCGATTTAACCTTTAATTGCCTACTGTAATCCAATTTTCTTTAGACTTCAACGTTTTTCAATCCTATTAGCTAATTTTCTATTGATTGTTCAACTATTTTTCCAAGTCGAAAAGTTGGAAAAATTGAATTTTGTGACCAAAAAAAAAACAAATATCGCTCATTTTTTTTGCAAAAATGTGACTGGGGTTTCCCTAAAAATGGTGTGATCTACATGATGTAGTTTGAAATTTTGATCTAAATGACTTTCGATTCTTTATTTACCGAAAATAGGTTTGCCTCATTTTTAGAAAATTTCCTTTTCTCCTTTATTTGTACAGTATGCCATTGGACAAATACGGAAAGGTGGAGGTGTCTAATTGGAGGTCAAATAAAGGAGCCAAGTAGTGATGTTCGGTAAGAACACCACATTTTAGAATTTCAGATTTTGGGGTTTTGAAAATGGAAAATTTGAAAACCAGTTAACATTTTGAAAAAATAATTTTTTCCAAAAATTTATCAATTTCCTTATCATCATATGTAAAATTAAATTTCCTTTCATTTGAGCCTATTTTCAGCTTTCTACGACAGCTAGGAGCCGAGATAAAGAAACTAGGTCAAAAGCGACGCGACCGCGGCGCGTGGGTCAAAACTTTGAGCGAGTGTATCTCAGCTTCTAGATGTCCTAGAATTGTGGAATTTACACAGAAATGATAAAAATTTAAAGCTTATTCCAATGAATACAATAATTTCAATTTTTGAAGGAATTTGATTTTTTTTTTGGAAAATTTGAAAAAAAATTTGTTCTCAAAATTTTAAAAATTTTAATACTAACATATGTAAAACTCAATTTCGTTTTAATTGAACCTACTTACAGCTCTCTAAGATAATTTTGGGCCAAGTTATGAGCGCAGAGCTACTAAATTTTTTTTTTTGAATTCCCGCCAAATCTGGCTGATCCAGTTTTTTGCTCATAACTCGGCTCAAAATGATCTAAGCCCGTTGAAAATAGGACCAAATGAAAAAAAATACAATTTTACATTTCGGAAGGTTAAAATTTGAAAATTTCGAGAATTTTAATTTTTCGCCATTTTTCCATTTTCAGTGTTTAGTTGCGACCTGAAACTGAAGGATAAAATGAGAAACTCAAACAAAAAGCTAGTATTTCCAAAAAGAATCAGGTCTGGCAGACGCCTATGAGCCGAGATACAGAAAGTAGGTCAAACGCGACGCGACCGCGTTGCATGGGTCAAAACTTTGAAGGGGTTTATCTCGGCTCCTAGATGTGCTAGAACTACGAAACTTGCGCAGAAATAATAGAAATTTGATGCTTATTTATATGAATTATAAAATTTCAAACTATTAAGGTTTTTAATTTTTTCGAATTGTTAAATTTTTCTGAATTTTTTTCTTCGGTTTTCTGGTTCCTAGAATGTCTAGTATAATATTATCAATGTCAAAATGAAATTCACCAAAGAACAGGGCAGGTGATGTACAAGAAAGCAAAAATAAAATACAATGGGCAAAATAATAGACTTGGTAAACAGTGTATACACAAACTACGGTAGATGGTGTGTCCCTTTGAAAAAAAAATTCTTAACGATGTACGCATGAATCATCTGAATAGTATAATGGGTGTTTGGAAGTGATCTTTGAAGAAAAAGAAATCTGCAAAAGAAGACAAATTTTCTGAAAAATCGAAATTTTGGAAAATTTCAAAATTTTTAAAGTTTGTAATTCATATAAATAAGTGCTTAATTTCCATTATTTCTGTGAAAATTTCGTAGTTCTAGGACATCTAGAAGCCGAGATACACGCCTTCAAAGTTTTGACCACGCAACGCGGTCGCGTCGCGGTTGACCTACTTTTTGTACATGCTCCTACAGCTCCTAGAGACTTTATTCTTTTTTGGGAACAAATTCATTTTTTTCAGAGTTTCCATTTGTACACTATCCATCATTTCAAGGTCGCAACTATTCAATGAAAATTGAAAAATGATGAAAAATGTTTCTTTCAAAATTTCAAAGTTTTGACATCATCATATGTAAAATTCAATTTCCTTTCATTTGGTCTTATTTTCAGCGTTCTAGAATCCATTTGAGCCGAGTTATTGCCGAAAAACTGATCTTCCAGATTTGGCGGGAATTCAAAAAAATATTTCTGCACCCAATTTTTTACTAATCACGAGACTTCCTATCAGTATCCAAACCATATGACCAATATAATATGTTTTTTTCGGTACAAAATAGAAAAACACGCTTTCTCTTCTTTTAATTCAAAGATCATTAGAATCAACGACGACGACTTCTAATGATACCGCGGGGCGCAGGAGAAGGAATTTTTCTGAGAAGACGTCAAATTAGAAGACGTCGGCAGACGTCAGAGAACAATCAGTTCCTTTTCTTTTTGGGCACGATCGGGCACATAAAGGAAGAAAAAGAAGATAGGGTGGTGATAAGGTGATAGGGAAGATAGAAATATCACTGGTTTTTGAAAAAGGTTGGATTCAAAAATTCAAAAATTCGCAAATTCAAAAATTGAAAAATTCGCAAATTCAAAAATTCAAAAATTCGCAAATTCAAAAATTCAAAAATTCGCAAATTCAAAAATTCAAAAATTCGCAAATTCAAAAATTCGCAAATTCAAAAATTCAAAAATTCGCAAATTCAAAAATTCAAAAATTCGCAAATTCAAAAATTGAAAAATTCGCAAATTCAAAAATTCAAAAATTCAAAAATTCAAAAATTCAAAAATTCAAAAATTCAAAAATTCAAAAATTCAAAAATTCAAAAATTCAAAAATTCAAAAATTCAAAAATTCAAAAATTCAAAAATTCAAAAATTCAAAAATTCTAATTCTAATAGTGCTGAAATTAGAAAAATCGAAAAATCTGAAAATCTGAAAAATCCGTGTTTAGGAAAAATTCACAAATCTGATGGCCTAGAAGACCAACAAAGCAAATTCTAGGCCACATGTCAATATAGGCATGCTTATACCATAAAAATGAAGACAAATATTGTAATTTTTGTTTGATTTTCCCACATAAGCCAAAAAATACAAAAAATAGAGAATTTTGAGAATTTTTTGGAAAAAAAAATGGAAAAAAAAAATTTTCGAAAAATTTTTTTGTAATTTTTTTGTTCCAACACTCATAAAAACCAGAAAATGAGTCAAAAATCGAAAATCGAACTTTGCGGGAGATACAGACTTTGACGAAATTTGTCAAAAAAAATTTGCATAATTCGGAATTTTCAAATTCGACACTATTGATTTGCATTTTACTGACTATGAGGGGAAAAAAGATGATTCTTTTGGAAATTTCAAAAAAAAACTTTTTCAGAGAACAAGGGATTTGTATTTTTATACAAAACGTTTCGTTTTGTTTGTAAATATAAAAATATTGTAAAAAAAACGGCGAAAAAATATTTTCTTTCAAAATATTAAAAATTTTTCGGCCATGAATCATTTGTGTATCGGCAAGAACGCTTTTTTTGGAAAGTTTGAATTCCCGCCAAATTTCATTTTTGGCAAAAAAAAAAACATTTCCACCCACCTCCTCCCCCACAGCTCCCCACCAGCGCGCGCTCCCCCTGCCCTTCTTATACACCTTCCGTTTTTTATAAAGCCACAGTGCGGCGTGGCGGGCGCTTATGCGTTACCTCTAAATTCAATCCTTTTGCCAATATGTGCTTCCTATATCTTTTGCTCCTAGAGGATTCGGATTATTCAAAGGCAAATTTTTCCTCTCCGTAATTCTTTTGGTACCAGGAAACGGTTCAAAAGTGTATCCATGCAGTTTGCTTTAGTAGCCAGCTTTTGGAAGCACGCAAAAATTTTCATTTTTAGGTCACAAATCGTCTAAAATAGAAGTACGTGAATTAAAATTAGTTTCCAGAGAAAAATGCCCCTGAATTTCATTTCTCGCGCGTAGTCACGTCGCCAAACAAAAGCAACAACATATCATCTGCTCGATATATCTCTTTGTCTCTTCTCCTCTCTGTCTGTAAAATGCAAGCGGATTTCGATTTCAATGTGAGATTCTGGAAATGTTGAATTTTTTGACTATTTTTGCCTCCTCTCAAGAGGGTCCGATCTTCTAAATTGTTTGACCCCATATATCTCATTTCCTGTGAGATATATAAAAATGTGGTCAACTGACAAAATGTTAGTGATATCATGTTTAACATTTTATCAGTTCACCATTTTTTGATATCTCTTACAGGTCTTGAGATATAAGGGTTCAAAGTTAAGAGGGCCCTTCCCCCACCGCTCCACATGCGCACCCGCTCCCCCCTCCCCCCGCGCCCGCTCCCCCGCCGTTCTTATACGCTTTCCATTTTTTACAAAGCCACCATGCGGTGTGGCGGGCGCCTACGCATGATCACCTATGCGTCTCCTTTTGCAGATCCCCTATCGTCAACAAGCCATCACTCGTGTTGTTCTCCCACGTCCTCCACCAGAACGAAGACGTCATGGATGCCACATTTTTTGTATGGAATGTTTCAAGAACGTCTTCTTGGGCACTGCGGCGTTCAAGGTTTACCTAATGGTTGCCTGGTGCATTGGGTTGGCTGGGCTGATGTATCTACAGAAGCCAGATGAGAAGTTTCAGGAGAATAGTAAGTCAAATTTTTTGGCAGGGGGGGGGGGGGTGTTGTTTTGAATAAAACAATATAAAACATTTAGATAAAGCCATACTAACAATTATATGCCTCATCTACCTTCTTGCTCAGATTTCTGGACTATTGGCTGTGGTAACAAGGGTCGAAAAACTGTTCATACCGTATTGCGCGGTTTTGGTAGGTCAAAAATTTTTGTAGGTCAAATTTTTTCAAATTTTTTGAAAATTTCCAGATAATAACCACCTTCGTTAACATCATTGTGTTGAGCCTGGCGTTTGTGGAAGAAATTTCGAGATATCTGCCGATTCAGAAAAATCTAACAAAACTTCCAGAAAACACTTTGATCATTTCCCTGATATATTTTATCTACAATGGTTTCTGCCTAACTTCTGTCTTCCATTTGTGCGATTTTGATAAGAAACGGGTGAAACATTTTTTTTTTAATTTTTCGAAATTTTTTTCTGAATTTTACCAATGTTAACACCATCAGATGTGAAATTCAATTTCCTTTCATTTGAGCCTACTTTCAGCGTTTTACGACATCTAGGAGCTGAGACAGGTCAACCGCGACGCGACCGCGTTGCATGGGTCAAAACTTTGAAGAGGTGTATCTCGGCTCCTAGATATGAAAACAAGACCAAATGAAAGGAAATTTGACACTCATTTACAAGAACTCAACAACTTAAAAAATTAGAATTTTTTAGAAAAATGTTAAAAAATTTTTTTCTAAAATGTTAGAAATTTTGTTCTCAACAGATTTGAATCTCAATTTCTTTTCGTTTGAGCCTACTTTAAGCTTTCTAGGACGCCTAGGAGCTTAGATAGGTAAACCGCGACGCGACCGCGTTGCGTGAGTCAAAACTTTGAAGGGGGGGGGGGGGGTTATCTCTTCTTCTAGATGTCCTAGAAAATTGAAAATTATACCAAACGAAAGGAAGTTAAATTTTACACCCGATAAACATAAAATCGATTTTTTTTAGATCCTCGCCGATCGTCGACGTCGCGAAGAAATTGCTCACCGAGCCCGAATCTACAATCGTTTAGTCGAGTTGAACGAGCGCGATCGTCCCGTTTCGATCAATGTTGATAGCCCGCCAAAATACTCGGTGAGCTTGGAAGAGTTTTGGGTTTCTAGGCCATCATTTTTGCAGACTCTCACAAACAAGTCAACGATTTGTACACCACCGCCCGGTTATGCACAATTGAAGAATTTGGGATACGACGATGAGGAGCAATTGGGCCAAAAATCAAGAAGAGCACTTTTTCAGGAAACTTCTAGTGATGAGAAACAATAAAAATTTACTTTTTGGACCTTATTCTTGAATTTTTTGCTGTTTGAGCTCAATTATCTCAATTTCTATGAATTTTTCAAAAAAGTTGTCAACTACAAAAATAAAGCCCTTGTTTGGTTTCATATTTCCTGAAAATTTCGAAAGGATTCAACTAGTTTGACCTACATTATGAGCACCTTAAACTCCTTTGCTATTTCTCAAAGCGTTTACTTTAGGCTTAAATATCTCGGGTCTTATACAAGATATCAAAAAGTAGTCAACTAATAAAATGTTTCACATATCATCAGCTACACTTTATCAGTTAACAAATTTTGTATGTCTCTTACAGGAACTGAGATAATTGAGCTCAAAGTGAGATACCTTTCTGGTACAAGTCGTGCTGGGCCCTTTAAATTTGATTTGATTTATCTCGGTTCCAATAAAAGATTTCAAACGTTTGTAAATTAATAAATTGTTTGTCATATTATGAGCTAACTTTTATCAGTTGATAAGTTTTTGACATCTCTCATGGGAACTGAGATAATTGAGCTCAAAGGGGAAGTGTAGACCAAGGATGCAAGAAGCTTGCCGCCAGTGGCCTAGTGCGTCAAAGTAAAAAGCTATTTAAATTAATAGAAATGGAGTAATTTAGCATAAAGTGCAAATATATATAATTGTCGGATCTTTTTTGACTAATATGGCCCAGCTGTTCTCCTCCTCTTTTAAACTGGATTTTAATGAATCCTATCATAATTTTTCAAAGAATTTTTTATTAAAAACCTATATAGAAAATTTGAAAAATCCACTGAAAATTTATGGTTTATTGCTTGGTGGAAATCATCAAAGCTTCTGGATGAATAGGACACGAGATGAGGGGGGAACCGGATCTTCGTTTTGTTCAACGAATTTTTCTGCCTGGTTGAAACGTCATCTACCAGGAAAGCATCGTTTTTCAATGTAATCATATTCGAGTTCATAGCGATCTGAAATTGGAATTTTCATACATACCCTAACTTTCAACTTTGGTCCAATTTATTACGGTTCCTGTTTGGAGATATCAGAAAGTTCTCAACTGACAAATTGTTTATCATAATATCACCAATATTTTATCAGTTGACACATTTTTGATATCTTTCACAGGAATCAAAATAATTGAGCTCAAAGTTGTCAGTGTGGGGAGCCCTTCTATTACAGGTTTTACGGTACATACTGTAGCTTATAATTAAACTCACAATTTAGCTCTAACAGCGACAATGGGTGGAATGACGAAAAATTTTTGGTGACTTCCTGACGAAGAGAACCCGGTATACTGTAATCCAAAAACTCCCGGTCGTTTTCCCATTTCTCTTGCTCTTTATGGTTTAGGTGGTGCAGTATCATGGTAGCTTCTTGAAATTTGTGATAGCAACACGTTTTTGACCATTTGCTTCACATAATCTTTGACGACTCCAAGATACAACATCTGAAGGAAATTCGGATTAATGGAAATTTGGAAGGAGCAGATAATTAGTTTCCAACAAACCTGTTGGAAGACTTCCAGATGCTAATTGTGCGGCGAATGAAATACCAAATAGTCTAGTGAATTCGGTTCCTTCATTTCTTCAACAAGGTTGGCTAGAGCATCCTCCAGTTCATCTGAAAAAATGAAATGCTCTCTATGACTTTGGCGGCGCTGTAATACAGAATTTGCACCACCACCTTTCACTTGGCGCCACCCTAGAGACTTGCCGCCATGGCGGCGCGCCACCACCCCCTTCTTATACTTCAAGTGTTTTTTATAAAACCATAGTGCGGCGTGGCGGGCGCCAGTGTGCCTAGGTGAAAATCTCTGTGTAATTAGTTTTCGAGGTATTGCCTCAAAGATGAGAGTTAAATGATATTTTGTTTTTTTTTCTCACTAAACTTACATAATTCCATTTTCTGCAGATTGTTTGAGTAGTGAACATTAACACAAAAGAGCGCAGGGGTGTCCATTAGAATTTTTGCCAGGCATCATATTTAGAGAAGCTTAGGAAGAACAATCGATGTGAGCTCATCATTACAAGCATACTATTAGGTTGGCGGGAAAGTCTTTGTCACTCTGTTTGTTTAATCACTGTTCTCGTATATGGAGGCTGTGTATGATATCGACTCTAGTGAATAACAAGGTGATAAGAACCTTCCATATAAACAAGTCCCCATTTCCTTCCCTGCTCCTCATCTGTAATTGAAACGATATGTTTGTTCCCACTGCTATTCACATCAGACATGTTTTGATTTACCTCTTCCTATCTCACACCACGATGAAGGATTCGGAAACTTTCTTGAAGAATGTGTACAACACACATGCCCCTCACTACAATACTATTCGCAATTGGTTCCATCGTTTCGAAAAAGATGACTTCTCGCTCGATGAAAAGGATCGCTCTGGGAGACCCCGTGAGTTGGATTTGGACAAGCTGAAGCACGCATTGCAATCGGATCCATTTCAATCTAGCCGTGAACTAGCTGTCACATTCGGAGTTCACCATAGCACAGTCCTTGAAGGTTTGAAGTCTCTGGAATGAGAAAACTTTTTGGTCGATTCATACCTCATCACCTGACTCAAGCCAACCTTGACCGCCGAGTCGACGATTCGATTACTCTTCTCACTCTCCACGCGGGCGATCGATGGCTGGACCGGCTAATAACCGGAGATGAGAAGTGGGTCTTCTACGATAATCACCACAGGAAATCCCAGTGGGTTGGAGAAGGAGAGAGCCCACAGGATGTCCCCAAACCCGGCCTTCATCCGAAAAAAGTTATGCTCTCTGTGTGGTGGGGAGTGGACGGCCCCATCTACTGGGAACTTCTGCCCGAGGGCAAAACAATAACTGGAGACCTCTACACTACTCAACTACGAAACCTCAAGAAAGCAGTCGACCGTTCGGCCCTGAAAGACAAGAAAGTGTACTATCAACATGATAACGCTCGCCCACATGTTTCGAAACAAGTGAAGCAGGAGCTGATGGGATATGGATGGAATGTTCTCCCTCACCCCCCGTATTCTCCTGATCTTGCTCCTTCCGACTATTGGTTATTTGGCGATATGACACGTGCCTTCGAAGGAAGAAGCTTCAATTCCCGTGGAGCGGTCGAAGCGGCACTCAAACAATACTTTGCCTCACGCCCGGCTGGATTCTACCGCAATGGAATCCATAAATTGAGGGAACGTTGGAGACATGTTGTTGATAATGATGGACAATATAATTAATTATTCGGTTATTTTTTCTTTGAGAAATAAACTATTGAAAAAGTGACAAAGACTTTCCCGCCAACCTAATATTTTACCTGAAGTAATTAATTTTAATTTAAGGGATGCTGTAACAATATTCTATTTTGCTATTACTTGAAAACAGGCCGAAAACAGACCAAAAGCGGACCAAGACTATTCCTTTCACAGCTTTTCTCAGGGTCCATATTTTTGGACTAAACAAAATGGATACGATAGAGGAGCTCAAGAACTACAAAATGAGCTTAATTGTGAAACTCTATCATGTCTGTGACCAAAGTTACAGTAAGCCAAAAAATCTATTGCGTAGCTCGGGCGGTGTTTGGCTTGTAACATTGTGCATAGACAAGAAACAGTATTTCAAGTAAGATCACTACAAAATGACACTGTTTGGGTTACTGTATCTTGTCTATGAATAATGTTACAATAAGCCAAAAAGATAGGCCGCGTAGCTCGGGATATTTTTGGGTTGAAACTTTGTTCATAGACGAGATACAGTACCCCATTGGCTCATTTTGTAGCTCTTCAATCGTTCTATTATATCTAATGTAATTAGTCACAAAATATTAATCCTAATCGGAATTATAGCTAAATCCGGTTTGGATCCGTTTTTGGTCCGTTTTCAAGTCTTCAACCTCCGAAAAAACTGACCACTGGAATCCTAGCAAGATGAGCGTTTTCCAATATGTCCAAAATTGGCGGCTGTAGGCTCAGGTCCTCTTCTTGTTGTTTTAAATGTCCCATCTTGTCTTGTCAAAGCATCTTGTTGCAGAGATTTGAAATTCACCATGTGTGGGTATTGAAGCTCCAAGATTCTAAAAAATTCCTCATTTTAAGATTTAAGACTTACCTTTCCAAAATCGGTGCGGTCCCTACATTTGAAGAATATTCCAGGCAAGTTCCGTCCTTGAAGATACTCTGGAAATTAAAAAAAAAATATTTTCCTCCACTCCCCTCGCCCCCACCGCTCCCCCTGCCCTTCTTATACACCTTCCGTTTTTTATAAAGCCACAGTGCGGCGTGGCGGGCGCTTATGCGTTACCTCTAAATTCAATCCTTTTGCCAATATGTGCTTCCTATATCTTTTGCTCCTAGAAGATTCGGATTATTCAAAGGCAAATTTTTCCTCTCCGTAATTCTTTTTGTACCAGGAAACGGTTCAAAAGTGTATCCATGCAGTTTGACCTAAATTACGGTTAGAAGCTACCTAAACCACTTACCTTGGACTCTTACCTTGGAATTCTGACCATAAACCAGAAAAAAAGAAATTTCAGAAAAATATTTAAAAAACGAAGACCTGCCAATCGGGTGTTCAAAAAAGACATATAGTCTCAAGGGGATCAGAGCGCCTTTTATACTCTTTTTGGCTCCGCCCACTTCTAGGCTCCGCCCCCTTGTGGGCCAGCTGGTGATCTGACCTTAAGATAAGAGAGACCTACTTTGGCACATTAGGCTCCGCCCCATTAGAGGGCAGGTGTTACACCTCCCAGAGATCTGTATCCGAAGATAAAAGAGTTCTTCCTTTTGGAGCACCTGCTTATTATTGTCAAAACGTGTTAATTGGCCAATCTTCCAGAAAACACCTGCTTTTCATTGTTGCGCAAGACAACTATTGGGTAATTATCTCTTTATCGCACCTGGAGGTATTATTGCGTTGGTCCCTTTTGGAAACGCCGCTTTTGGTATCTAATTATCGCTTTTAGAATATTTGAATTATAAGACCGGAAGTTATAAGACCAAAAAAATCCCAAAAAATCGCGATACAAATTTCATTTACTTGCACCTTATTTCAATTTCTGTATGAGTAAAGCAGATTTACACCCAGACGCACTAGCGCCCGCCACGCCGCGCAGTGTTTATTAAAAAAATGGTTGTAGTATAAGAGGAGGTGGTGGCCACTGGCGGCAAGCCTCGAAAGGTGGAGGCGCCAAGTAAAGTGTGGTGGCGGCAACAGCCCCATAGTCTACCACTTTCCACTTTGAGCTCAATTATCTCAATCCCTGTAAGAGATATCAAAAAATTGTCAACTATAAAAATGTAGCTGACAATATGATAAACATTTTATCAATTGACAACTTTTTTATATCTTTTACAGGAACCGAGATAATTTAGCTCAAAAAAAACAGTTTACGGAAAAAGTAATAATGAAGTTTAAAGATTTTGAAAAGCAAGTCAAACTAGTTCGATATTTTTGAAAATTTCAGACAATATGAAACAAAATAAGGGCTTTAATTTGGTAGCTGACACCTTTTTTGAAAATCTTCTAGAAATTGAGATAATTGAGCTTTAAATTGAAAAAATAGTTTTATTCAATAGTATTGAGTTCTCGATCGCATTCCTCTTCGGCGCTGGCGGCGAATTCTGTAAAAATCTCAATTTTTTGAAAAATTCAAAAATTCGTGAATTCTGAAAAATTCGAAAATTCAAAAATTCAAAAATTCAAAAATTCGTGAATTCTGAATAATTCGAAAATTCGAAAATTCAAAAAATTCACCTTTTTGATACTTTTCATGCAAAAATCTGTCTCCAAAAATGAAGAAAAACGCGAAAATCGCCATACAAAATGTGATAATTAAAGCGGAGAAGATGTAGAAGAGTTGAACGGAGTGGACGGTTCTAAAACACATTTTTTTAAACTTTCTGTGTTTCCAAATGTCCAGATGTCCGCATTTTACCTATAACAATAGCAGACGGGCGCCACTTTTTCGTTGATTGCTGACAGATAAATTGGATTTTCCATTATTTTTTAAGAACTAAAATTTCCACGCTTTCTGTTTTTCTTTTTGGGGGGTTTAAAGGTCCCAAAAACCCTGTAAATAGGGTCATACACTTTGAGCTCAATTATCTCGGTTACTGTAACAGATATCAAAAAGCTGCCAACTGAAAAAATGTTGCTGATATTAAGAGATATATTTTATCAATTGACAAATTTTTGATATCTTTTATAGGAAGTGAGATAATTAAACTCAAAGTGGAAGTACTGTAGACTTTGCGCCATTACCCCTTTACTTGGCGCCTCCACCTTTCGAGGCTTGCCGCCAGCGGCGCTCCGCCACCACCCCCTTCTTATAATAGAAGTATTTTTTTTATTAACCACTGCGCGGTGTGACGGGCGTTATGGCGTTTCGGTGAAAATCTATTTTACTCTTGTGGGAATGAAGATAAAGTGCAAGTACATGATATTTTAAGCGATTTTCCGTATTTTTTGTCTGAAATTCCAAAAACTTCTGTAAATTTTTGAAGTATAAAACTGATATTTTTATTAGACACAATTTCAAAGAAATCGAAAAGAATGAAATACATGAAAAATACAAAAAAATCTATGAGGTACAAAAAATGGGATTTTTAGTCGAAAAAGGACATTTTTGGGGTAAAAAACACACATAAAAGGACAATTTTCAGCTTAAAAAACCATTAAAAATTCAATTTATTGAACTAAAAATTTCGATTCTGCCAATCCAGTGAGCCCGAATTCAATAACATCTCCCGGATTGATTTTCGTAACACCAGCCGGTGTTCCAGTCAACACAACGTCTCCAACTTCCAGTGTAAAGTACTGTGTCGCGTATTCCAAAAGTGTTGGAATATCGAAAATCATCACATCCGTTCGGCATCTCTGCTGATCCTTTCCATTGATTTTACAGTATAATTCCACGTTGTGCGGGTCTGAAAATTGGCTACTACAGTAACCGGGAATCAAAGAAAAATAGGGGAAAATTTCAATGTTAGGGTTTAGAATCGATTTTTTTTTAAATCACAAAATTTTTGAATTTTTGAATTTTCAAATTTTTGAAATTTTTAAGCCAAAAAAATCGATTTCCGGATTTTTCGGAATTCCGATTTTTTTTTGAATTTTTGAAAACTTTGAATATTTTAAATTTTTCGATTTTTTGAAAATTTTCGAATTTTTGAATTTTTTGATAATTTAAAATTTTTCGCAAAGATTGAAATTCTAAAAAATTGATTTTCACAATTTTCACAAAAAATCCAGAAGTTCAGAAACTCAAAAATTGGAAAAAAATTCAAATTTTCAAATTTTCAAAAACTCGAAAATCCAGAAATTCAAAAATTCAAAAATTCGAAAATTCAAAAATTCAAAAAATCGAAAATTTGGAAAATTCCAAAATTCAGAAACTCAGAAATTGGAAAAATCTTAAAAATTTGAAAAATTCAAATTTTCAATTTTTCAAAAATTCGAGAATTCAAAAATTCAAAAAATTTCGAAAATTCAAAAATCTCGAAAAATCCAAAAAAACTCAAAAATTCAAAAATCCCAGAATTCAACATTTCAAACATCCGAAAATTCAAAAATCTCGAAAAAATCCAAAAAACTCGAAAATTCAAAAATTCAAAAAATTCAAAAATTCAAAATTTTTCGATTTTTCGGAAATTCGAAAAATCCGAAAATCGATGTTTTTTTTTGGATTAAAAATTTCAAATTCCCGCGTACCAGGAATCGCCGAAACCGGCAAAAATCCACCAACTGGACACGATCCATCGAACGATTTGGCCATGAACCACGGGGCGCCCGCCTTCTTGGCCTCGTCCTGGAAATCACGGGCGGTCATGTCCAGTGCAACCGTGTAGCCACCAACATAGTCCATCGCTGAGGATTTTGTGATTTTCTGGAACAAATTTGGGAATTTTGAGCCAAAATTGAGGAGAATGAGCCAAAAATCGTCATTTTTGGCCTTTAAAATTGCTAAAAATCACTAAATATGACCCTTAATTGATTTTTTAGCTCGAAAATCGAATTTTTAAGCGTTTTGTTCAGTGGAGCGCGATTGCTTCAGACATTTTTTTGAAGCTCGATTTTCAGCTTTTTTTGTTGAATTTTTAGATTTTTTTTTTGATTTTTAGTATTTTTAAGAGACGAATTATGAGGTTTTTCAGCTTTTAAGACTGGTTTTCAGCGATTTTTGGCGGAAATTTGAAATTTTTTGAAAACATTCGAAAAAGTCGATTTTTAACATTTTTAGGTCATTTTTACCGCATTTTTAGCTTATTTTCAGAATTTTCAGCACAGTTCCAGTCTAAAAATGCTCACCGACGCCTTCTTCCCAATCACCACACCCAATTCCACCTCCTGATGCAAATTCTGGCACCCGGGCGGCGCGACAATCGACTCGCCCTCCACAATAAACGAGTTTACTGTCTGAAAATCAGATTTCTTAGTTCACAAAATCAATTCTTAGCTCTATACTTTCACAAAAAGCATTGGTTTCTTGGGAATTGCGTTGCCCAGTTCCAGAGCGTGATCCTTATAGTTGCGGCCGACGCAAACGATTTTTGTGGCCAGATTCCGAAAGCCGGCGAGCGATTGAGCGGACATTTCTGAAAAAAATCCGGATTTTTCTACTATTTTTGCTGAAAAATACGATCCAAAATCACTAAAAATTGCTAAAATCCCGACGAGAGAGTGGGGAATCATGTGTTGAAGACGGGGAGACGCAGAGAAAGTGCGATGGAGCGCGCTTGCAATAGAGCAGCTGACACTGCGATTTTCATGATTTCTGAGCGATTTTCTTGCTTTTTTGGGGTTTCCCGGGGTAATTTTTCTGAAAGTAGTGATAAAAACAGTGAAAAGTACATGTAATTCTTTGAAAAATCTAAAAAATCGCAAAAAAACCCGAAGTTTTCGAATTTCAGCGATTTTTTGAAAATTACGAATTTTTTTCTTAATAATTAGATTTTCTCATGATTTAAATATATTTTTTTTCTAAAATTCTGGGGTTTTCAGCCTAAATTACACTAGAAAAATCGCAAAGAATGAAAAAATTTTTTTTTGAAAATTTTGAAAAATCATTTTTTAGAGTTTTTGGATTTTTCCAATTTTTAACCACTATTTTCATAGATTTTTGATTTTCTAGACCCATTTTTTCGACCTAAAAATTGGTTCCAGTGAGTCGGCTTCCGCTTACCTGACATTTCAATTTTAGCGTCTCTCGTTTCTCTGCGTCACTCACTCTCTCGCTCTTTCGACAGTTTTGTGACCAGAAAAAAAGCGAAATCGATTGTGTTATAGTCAGTCTCTCTACTTCTTTTTTATCATCGTTTTTTCATGTTGGCAAATTGGGACTATAGGCTCCGCCCACTTTTTTCTAGGTCATTTTCTATTTTTTGACCGCAATGGTTCTTATTTTCTTGTGGTCGAAGTGATCTTTGTTGTTGGTTTTTTGGGGGTTTTCGAGATCATTTTTCAGTGATTTTGAGGCATTTTTCATGGATTTTTGGACCATTTTTCATGGATTTTAGACCATTTTTAATGGTTTTTGGACCATTTTTCATGGATTTTGGACCGTTTTTAATAGATTTTGGACCATTTTTAATGGATTTTGGACCGTTTCTAATGGATTTTGGACCATTTTCCAGGGATTTTAGACCGTTTTTCATGACCAAGTGGTTTTTCTGTACCACTTTTTCTCATTTTCTCAAAAATCACAGAAGGGGAACGACCACAGGGGGAGGAATAGGAGAATTCTATATATTGGGTTGGGTCACATGGTTTAGAACGAAAAAGAGAGAGAAAGGGAGAGGTGATTTGTCATATGAACAAACCTAGTTTGAGTCACTGAACCAACTGTTACAGGACACGCAGATTTTGGAAAAATCTAGAATCAAAGAATCTAGGGATCCTAGAATTCAGCGATGTAGGAATCCAGGGTCTCAGCTTCTCCGATTCAGGACCACTGGTGTCTAAAACTCTAGAAAATCTAGAATTCCAGGTTTCTCCAATCTAGGAGCGAAAAGTCCATGATTCTTTAATTCAGAAGCTCGAGAGTCTAAGAATCTGAGGACTCAGGATTCCATGATTCTAAGGATCTGGAATCCTAGAATTCCAGGATCCAACCTCCTCGAATTAGGGGCCACTGGAGTCTAAGAATCCAGGAATCCAGAAACCCAAGATCCTAAGAATCTAGGAGTTCGGTAACCTAGGAGGCCAGATCCTCTGATCCAGGAGGTTTGGTGTCTAGGAACCTCTGACTCCCAGGATCCTCCCAATCAGGAAACACAGATGTCTAAGAATCGGAGGATCCATGAGACCGGGCTTCTAGAAACCTAGGGTTCTAGAAGTACAGGATCTTCCAATCCAGGAGCCCTATATTATAAAAAAAACTAGGAATCCAGAATCTCAGGTCCACCGAGGCCCACAGAAATCTATAAATCCAGAGGCTTAGGAATCCAGAATCCTCAGATTCAGGAGACCAGGATCCTTTAATTCTAGGGTTCTCGGAATATAGAATTCCATGGTTCGGATATCCAGAAGCCTGGGATTCTAGGGATCTAGGATCCCAGCTCATCCGATTCAGTACCACAGGTGTCTATGAAGCCAGGAATCTGTGAGTTCAGGATCCTCCGAACCAGGTGAAAAGGATCTTAGATCTGATGACTTAGGACCACAGGAATCAAGGGATCTAGAATTCTATGGATCCAGGATATCAAAATTCTAGGAATCTAAGAAAATAGGAATCCAGAATCCCAGGATCCTCCGATTGAGGACCACAGGAAGCTAAGAATCTAAGAATCTAGAATCCCTGCTTCGTTGTCTCCCACAGAAGCATCCAGAAGCTTCTTGACACCTTCTCCTTCTCTCCCAGTCCATTTATCTTCTTCCTCTTCCTCTACGCCATCCCAAACCCATCATTATCTCTGCAAAACGACGAAGAATGGCGTTCCACGCCCTCCCATAGAGGGCATCCTCTTCTTCTTCTTCTTCTTCATTTGCATCCATCCCAACAAAAAGAGAATGAGAGAAAAAACGCCGTCCGCCCGGCCGTCCGTCCGTCGCGGCGTCCCTCTCTCTTCTCTGCGTCTCATCTACGACACGTTATCTCTCGCCTAGGAGCCGCCGGGCGCCGCCGGCCGGCACTGCCCCGTCTCTCACTATGGCACACTATCTCGCTAGCACACACCGGTGCTAGTAGTTCTGCTGATTTTTTGAATTGAAGAAGAAAAAGATGGAGAGAGAGAGAGACCGCAGACAGAGAGATACACACATATAACCGCGTTGGAATCATTTGACCGCCCACCCTTCGTCTCTTCTTGAGAAGCGGGTAGTTGTGAGTCTTCCAGAGAAGCAGAGAGAACTAATTTGCTTTTTTTCTGGCGATTTTGAGCACTTTGAGAGCTCAAAATAATCGAAATGTTCGATTTTCTACCCGAAAAACGAGCAATTTCAAGCTGAAGAGTGAGGATTTGAACTCGATTCTTGAGCTCAGAACGTTCGAAAAATGAGTTTTTGGCTCTTTCTTTCGTTTTGAGCATTTTTAGAGCTTAAAAATACCATTTTCCCATGATTTTCGAGTTGAAAATTTGGAAAAACGCGAAATTTTGAGCTAGGAATGGTCATTTTTCTAGATTTTGGAGCTCTGAAAATGTCGAAAACTGGAAATCTTGAATTTTTGATTTCTGGAGAAAATTGAAAAAATCCATTTTTGGATATTTTTTAACTGCAAATAGCAATTTCAGGAATCTCAAAATTTCAATATTTTGCTCGGAAAAATTGAAATTATCAGTGATTTTGGAAATTTTAGGCACTTTTTTTTTTCAAAAATAGGCTCCGCCCACTTTTGTACTTCTCCCTCCTCCTCCTCTCGCCCCATCCTTGCTGTCCCAATTTTCTGCTGTCGATTTTCAGCAAAACCGGCTGAAAAATAGGCTCCGCCCATTTTTAGGCCATTTTTCCTCCATCTTTTATAGATTTTCTAGAAGTCTGAAAATAGTAAATTTCCAATTTTTCCGTATATTTTGGAAGACACATACCGAAAAATTGCCCCCCCCCTCTAGTGCTGCCGATAAGAATCTCCGTTTTCCCGCCAAAATGTCTTCGGTAGTTTTTTTTTCTAGAGATGACGTCATCAGAAAAATTGGAAACAAATTCTAGAAATGTCCAAGAAAATTGACTGATCGAGTTTTTCAGATTTTTTGAAAATTAAAAAAAAAACTATTTTTGGGAACCTCATCAGAAGACGTTGCGAAATTCTGAAAATACCTCCAGCGAAAATTCTGGGAGTTTTTTTTTGGTCATTTTTCCACTCTTTTTTTTCCAAAAAATTTATGTGTTTTATCTAGACAACTGTTCTTTTGAAGCATTTTTTAGGGCTCAAAACATCAAATTTTAAATTTTTTTTCGGTCCCAAAAAATCCAGAGATTGGGAATTTAGGCTCCGCCCACTTTTTTCTAGGTAATTTTCTATTTTTTGACCGTAATGGTTCTTATTTTCTTGTGGTGGAATTGATGCCGGTTTTTAGGAGGTTTTTGGGGATCATTTTCGGTGATTTTGAGCCATTTTTCATGATTTTTGGACCATTTTTCATGATTTTTGGACCATTTTTCATGATTTTTGGGACATTTTTCATGATTTTTGGACCATTTTAAATGAATTTTAGACTATTTTTCATGATTTTTGGACACTATTTTCCAGGGATTTTAGACCGTTTTTCATGACCAAGTGGTTTTCTGTACAAGTTTTTTGTGATTTTCTCAAAAATCCCATAAAGAGACCGACCCAAGTGGGGATAGAGAAATGAAAGAATTATTGGGTTGGGTCGGGGGTACGACGAATTCGAACGTTTTCAAAATCGAACAGACCTAAAGTCGAACTGATTCAAATGAGAACAGTGTCTTTCTCGAACAAGTATCAAAACAGAACAAGGACAGAATCGAACTGTTCTAATTCGAACTGTGCACTGTCGAACTGTCCCAAATTGGAACGCTGTTA